CGAAGCTTTTGATTCCTTCTGATTTTTCCAAGTGACGGGAAGAGTTTCCGATTGATGAAAACTTGATGTACCTGGCTGAAATTCAGGTCTTGAAAGATCTGAAACTAACAAGTGATTCCTAAGCTGAAGTCCAAATGAAACTTGGTTGACTTCGTCATTGAAACTGGCTACGCACTGCAATTTAGGCCCAAATCTTGCTTTCTTTCTGTTTTCTTCCTATTCTACTTTTCCAATTCGACAAGATGTTCCCAACAAAAGGAACGCGACCTAAGTCAGCGACGCCGGTTCGACCCAGTTGGCGTGCCGACACACCAGCAGGGTCAGGGACAGTGAGTTTGCCGCCTAGCCTAATAATCCTCCTGCTCAGAATGTGGCATCAAACTTTGAGGAAGATTCCTCAAATAGAGAAGTTCTAACCTCTTCGGAAGGACCAGTTTCCATCAACTTTGCGATGGGTCCTATGACTACTTCGATTCAATTTGCTAGTGAAGAGCAGTTCAACAGGCATGGGTACAATGTGTTGTACCATGCACATGCGGCAAGCATGCAACTAGCTCTTATGAGTACTCAGCTTGCTGCAAATCCGAACGCAGCGGCGCCGGTGATTCATCCAGTGTTTGGAGCTCAGAATATGGCACCAGCGATTATGGCTGGAACATCGTCCGGGGCCCGCAACATACCAGCTATCGCAGCTGGATCCTCGTCCGGAGCCCTTAACATACCAGCTATTACAGCTGGAACACCGTCCAGGGCCCTTCAAACTCGACCTGGCGAAACAGCTCCAGCTACGTGCGGGGCCTTACGCATTCGGAGCAATGCGACTATCTCAGCCTTTGGTGCCGGGCTGATGCCGGGAACCCCAGATATCGCGGAGGTCTTTACTGGCACTTACCTACCCTGGTAGCTGATGAGGTGGAAGATTCCGATGTTGCCACTGAGTCCTTAACGCATGGCACAGTGGAGGTGTGTTGGCTTCAAAATCCAACATTTCGTGTGTGGAAGCCACTTCAGCGACTTCGGGTATATGATAATGAAGGTCCTGTTACCATTTCAGATGAAACAACGTTCAACTGGGAGAAGCTGGTCAATGTGTTTCTTCAATTGAGACCTTTGTTAGCTACTTCTTTGAGCAGAAGGAAGTCAGCCACAGAGATCCGCCTTCCTCGTTTTGATTTCACTATGTTGCCGTCTTCGCTTGTTACCACTACCATGGATTATCTTACGCAGTTGCTTCAACAACCGACCAATCCACCCGATCTTGCAGTTGATGTTCAAACGCGGAAAGATGTAGCCAATGTCCTTTTGGCCTCCCGTACAGTGGATTATGCAACAGGGGTTCGGTTGATCAAGCTCAATGAGCACTGGGTAGGCTTAGTGGTGGACCTCAACATCACCCATGGCATAGCCAGACCTGAGCTTTTGAGTGGCAACATTCAACATTTTTATGTCGCTCATAACACGGATTGGAACGCTGCTGCTCACATCTTGCATCAGGGCATATGGAGACCATCTAGCTACGACCCCAATGACGTCACATGGTCTCCTTCCTCCACATTTTACGCAAGAGGACATATGTATGACGAGAAAATCGCTATGGCTCAGGCTGCGATTCACAAGTCCTCCCATCGCCCATGTTGTGTATTGGGACGTTCCATAATCCGTCAACACACTCATGTCAAAGCCAAATCTGGCGGCATTCCTACAGCTATCGCTGCCTCCATGTGTTATGACATCGTACGAGCAGAGGATGGGAGATGGGCATTCCGTGTTAGCACATCTCGCCCCACTGGGTTTGCAGTATGGGAGTATCAAGACTAAAGCTGGAACAACAATGGTGATTCCTGCAGTACCACTATGACAATGAGGTGTTCATTTTTCAGGACCAGTTCTCCATCAGCCTTTCTGCAAATAGTTCTGACGCTGTAACAAAGACTTTAATTAATTCTCCAAGGTTTTGCCATTTGAAGTAAAAAGAAGATGAGCCAACTTGCGTTTGCAATTTTGGGGATTATGCTGCATGAGTTGCCCCTGATCAGTTGCAAACTGAACATCAGTGCCTTCATTGAGTGATGCATCATTGAGTCATATTTACTGAGACTAACTGTTGTTCAATCTGAGTTTGCTCGAGAGTCAGCCTTTGTGTAGCTCTTAGCCTCCGACCTTAGCCATGTCCTGGAATTCTTGGTCTTGGGCACCTAGATCTTCCTCTAGCCCCTACGACTACCAGGATGATGGATGGGTACAACCAACCTACGTATGGGGCACATAAAGGCGGCAAGTCCAATTTTCGGAGCAATCCATATTTGGAGATCTCGTCAGGCAAAGGTAAAGGAAAAGATCATTATCCTTCAGTTCCCCAAGAAGACCCAACGATTGCTTCAGAGAGACCTACTCTTCCTGCATCGTTTGCTCCAAATGAGATGCGCTATGATTCCAAAGAATTACATGGCCTCACACTCAACAAGAAAGTGGAAGCCAGCCATTGGTCACGCAAGCGAGCACTAGCTGGACGTGACATCTTTGACATCAAAGCACATGAGCTTATGTACCATGGAGCTTCAGAGTGGTCCTTGAGAATTCTTAGCCACGGAAGGTTTGTTTCTACAGTACCAACAAGGTCAGTGGCGGAAAGCGTATTCGTTGCTCATCTTCTATCACTAGTTCAGAAACATCACCTTGATCTAGACGGTGCGGCAGAGATTGCCTGGGTACAGCAAAACCCACAAGCAAATTTGCCTTCTAAGACCTTGGATGTTGCTGCATTATACCATCCACTTTTGACGCAGCTACTTCAAGTTCTACAGAAGTATGCACCAGTTGAAGCTAGTTCCAAGGCTTCCCAGGAGATGGTGGCCTTAAAAACACAACTAGCTAAAAGGGAACAACAACTCAGGGCAGAAGGTGTGGAAATTTCTCCTGCCAAACCTACTTTGGCAACGACCTCAGATGAGCCACCTTCTGGCTCTGCTCGTGCACCGCCCTCAGCGAACACTCGTGGTCTACCACAAGACGAACCACCGCAGGGAGCCTTGGATCGCTTGGAGAATATCGAGCAAGACGTTTTGAAGACCAAGATCAAGAACTTGTCCGGACCCTCAACAGAAGCTTCTCAGATGTGGATCAAAACCTTCAAGAAAACATTAGGCGCCCAGAAGTTTGAAGAGCTTCAATCCCTAACCGATGAGGTTTACAAGATGTCTTCAGATAAAGCCGGCCAGATGTCTAAAGATCGCCTCAAGGAGCTTGCTGTGAAGTTTGGCATTCCTATAAGCATTGCCAATCGTATGGGCCTCAAGTCCCTTTCTGCTGTT